AAAATAAAATGAGTGTAAAGTATAGATAGCGAATAGTTGTACTTCAGTAAGTAACCAAGTATTTGTAGTTTGTTACTTGACGGCTCTGATTGTTTCTTCCTTGGCTGTGCTAATTATCAGCTCAGACTTCCACCTGAAAAACATTTAGTCTGAGGATTCCTGCTGCTCCCACTGGTGGTTTGGCTTCTGCAGCCACGGCTCTGCATGAGTCCAAAGTTTGCGGTTTCGGTACATTAAGCAGAACATGCCTGATGTTAGCGAACGAGACAGCTTGTTTGTATCTGAACAAACTGTTCTGTTTGGGAGCTTTGAGAAAAACTTCTTTTCCTGCCTCTTTTCTTCTGACTCTGCACTTTCTTTCCTCTGCTTCCTCTCATTAAGGCCTTCCTGACTAATTCTGCTAAAACTGGAGAAGTGAAAGTGTGACCCCCTCTGATGAAGGATGGTGATCCCCGGGTTCTTGTTTGTCGGGTTTGACAGTGGGAATTTTTCTGCTCTCAATGATCAGGTTTGCCTTCAGACGTTGAGCCGCTAATAAATCCTGAATAACTTCAAATGGTCTCAGGCACTTTTTCCAGCTCTAATAAATGAAGCCCTGCTGTGGTGAATTTACATCTACTTGAATCCCTAAATTCTCCCAGATTTTGGTTCATGGATGAAACGGGTTTTTATTCAATTCAGTTTATTTCTATTGCGCCAATTCACAACGCATGTCATCTTAAGGCTCTTTCCAGTTCACCAGATCATCCAGTGAGATTGATCCATAGTTTTCTATCTAAGGAAAACCAGCTGATTGTATTGACTCATTGACTCAAATACAATCCCTCACACTAAGCATGCTTGTAGCGACAGTGGAGAGGAAAAAATCCCCTTTAACAGGAAGAAACCTCCAGCAGAACCAGGCTCAGTGTGAGCGGCCATCTGCCGAGGCCGACTGGGGTTCAATGAGACAGAAGCAGAGATACAAAAACGAACTCATCAGTCAAATACAGGTTGATTGTATTTGCCATGATTCTCAGTGATAAACTGTTCAAAATGAAAATGTCCTTTTATATACACTCTGTATATACAAAATGACAATAAAAGTTGTTAAAGTCAAAGTCTAAAGCTGTTAGGGTGGATCAGTACGACCTCTGGGTGCATTAAAACCTGGATATTTTAGCATCAGCTGTTTCCTTTGGTTCCCAAACTTTCTCCGACTTTCATCCATAACTTTGAGCGTGAAAGAAGCAGGACTGAGATTTACTGGATCCAAAGTCTGGAGCTCTGACTCTTCCACCATGAGACCTGCTCCTGTTCTCACTTTAATTCCTCACAGGCTAAAACTGGCATGTCTGTAGCGGTAATCTTTAACCCAATCTGATTCTCAGAACCAAAGAAGCATTCCTCCAAATATCACATAATCTATTTCATAAGGTGCCATTTTGATTAAAGGAATAGTACACCCAAAACATGATTAGCCTTCATTTTCTACTCACCCCCATGCTGA